CTTAAGGAGAGAAAAAATTTAAAACTTTTAGAAGTCAAAAGAGGATAATATCTTTCTATGAATGGAGCAAGGAATAATTTCTTAAACAAGCACTAATCATAAAGGAAAAGATTGGAAAATTCTACTATTAAGAACTTACCATACTAAGTTCTACTAAAAATTTGTGATCTTCTAAAGATGCTATACAGAAATTGAAAAGTCAAATCACAAATTGGGAGAAAACAATTGTAACACAAATAAATGCCAAAGAAATATTATTATAGGAAATACATGAAAGTTCCACAAACCAATCATAAAAACACCAACAACCCAAATGAAAAATGGGCAAAGGACAAGAATACTTATTTTACAGAGGAAACATGAATGGCAAATATATTTATGAAAAGTCATACAAATTTGAGTTTCCCTGGATAGGCAAATTAAGGCCACAGTTAAACCAGGAAAACAAAAATTAAGAAGCCTGACTCTGTAGTAAGACCATAAAGATAAATATTCACATGCCCTACTTCTTCGCAGTTCTTCTGTTAGGGTTATACCCCGAGAAACTTCCGCTCAGCGAAAGAAGTGTAGAAAATTTTAAAAGCAATGCTGTTCATAAAAGTAACACTGGAAATCATTAAAAAAATTTATTTTAAATCCACTAAAAATGACCCATGTACACATGACAGGAGAATGGACCATGTGTTGTATGTTCCTGTTTTGCCAATGGGTTCCAGCCCCCAGAAAGTTGACTATGGAGTCAGTGAGAATGAGGAATGACAGTGGAACGTTGTTGGGATGAAAAGGTTATACCCAACTTTATTCCTATGGTGGCAGGTCAACACTAGAATCCCATCTACCTCAGAGCAAGTCTGCATGCATCAAGCCAGTTTCTGCCTCTGGGCCTCTCTGCCCGCACAGCCATCTCAGTCTCTGTCCTCGGCGCTGCCACCACTCCAGCCTTGTCTCTGTTCTCCTGCAACCTTGCAGCCGTGCCACCATGGCACGGGGAGGAGCTCTTTATTTAGAGTCAATAACAATGTATTGCCCACATGTGTGTAGTGAGCTAGCCAACCAGGGCCAGGTGAGAATCCTGGCCACAGGACCCTTCACTTTATCCACACTGATTGATCAAGCTGTACATTTATGGTAGGTGGGCTTTTCTGTATGTATAAAAGTTTTAAAAGCAATGTTTGGGTGAAAAAAGCAAGGGCAGAAAGAATACTTACATGACTCTATATGTCAAGTTTACAATCATGTGAAACTAAACAATATACTGTTTAAACATACATGTATAGGTGATAACACTATATCAAGAGAAGGTTAAATCCTAAATTCAGATTATTTCTGAAAGTAAAGAAAGAGGGGCACTCAGGTTCCTAAAAAGAGTGTTGGTGATATTTTATTTCTTGCGCTGTGGGAGTAAATACAGGTGTTCCTTTGAATAGTATTCCTTACTTTCTTCATATATGACATATTTAACTGGAGAAACAAGAAAAAGGAAAGAAGGAGGAAAGAGGGAAGGAAGAAGAAAAAGGAATAGAGGGTAAAGGTAAGTCAGGATGACAAAGGAGAGGTCAAGAAAACCAGTCAGTTAATTTTTTTTTCTTTTGATGTGATTCGTGCCAATTTAATTGTGGACACCTTCTCTGTCACCTCTTGGTCAGTGAATCATTTGAAGAGCCAGCCTGTACGGTGAGAGGTCCGGAGAGATGATCTCTTGGGATCCTTTATTTTTTTGATTGTATAATTTCGTTATTTTCATTCCATTATTATAATAGCATTAAGGGAATTTCTAAAGAAAAAAGATGACTCACCCCTAATTCCATTCACCTATTCTATTACCTGTATAACAGAGTTACAGGAGCTAGAATCCTGTCTGTTAGCCCAGTCGGGGAGGGCCCAGCTCCTCCACCGGAGATTCATCACTCCCTTTTCTGCAGTCCGTTTTTCTCTGTTTGCTCCTCACCACATCCTGCCTTGCTTCATACTTGAAAGGTTTGGCCAGGGACATTTCTTATGTGCCTGTTCTTTTTTACCTGTTGAGATAACATCTTTTAGGGATTCTAGCCTGAGAGGTGAAATCCCCCTTTCCAAGCACCGAAGCCATTCTATTTCTGGCCACCAGGGGGCACACAGAGACTTGCCTCGGGCCCAACTCTGCCCCTCCTGCTACGGCCTCCTGGGTCATTTGAGGAGAAAGAGGTCTTTGGCTGATCGGGTTATTCCTGTAGAGCTATTTTTAAATCTTTGTTTCTGGTTTCTATATCAAGTCTTTCTTTCTGTCCTTCCCTCTGATTTTCTCTTGTTTTCATGCATGCTCCTCAGTGGTTCTCTGAGATAGCTTCACCATCATCCACATCCCTTTTCCTAAGACAGTGATCTTCAGATTTTGTGTATGTGAGGTCTTAATCTGGTCTGAATCCCCTCTTGGGGAAAAAAAAAATTCCAAAAACTGTAGTACATTCTTTTCGATGCCTCTGATGGTGAAGAGTTGAAATCTTTTGAGGATCCAAAGCTATTCAGAAGCCAAGTCTCGGCTATTAGAGTAGTGATCACTCTGGGTAATGTTTTTGACACATGTGGTGTGACAGTCTAATACCAAGACTGATTTTCCTGTGTGGCTTGGAATCTGGCCTTGGAGATCACTCCCAAGTTGGAGTACAAACTTGGGTGGAGCAACGGAATAAGTGTTTCATTCTAAGGTGAGTACGCTGGAAGGAAAACCTCAGCCTCATCGCCTGTCCTCACATCTCCTTTGTCTGTGAAGCAGGCCTTTGTACATAATAATTTGGAAATCTTAAAGAGGAGTGTGCAATGGTGAATCTAGTGGAACAAATACAAATAAGGGAAGAAAGGGGATTCCAGGTTGGAGATTTGATCCCCTTATTGTCTTGAGGGGGCCTCTTATTCGAACCACAAAGCCTTTGTTGGTATCAGGTAGATGTGAATTTGAGGACAAGATCAGTTTGTTCTTAAAACATCTTGTGTTTGTGCACAGGATCTTCTGAGAAGTGGAATTGGTGAATCATTGGGAATGTGCATGTTAAATTTTAATAGAGATAGATAAATTACTCTTCCAAAATTTATAGTCTAAGGAAAACAAACAACCCAATTAAAAAGTGGGCAAAATGATGGACAGACACCCCACCAAAGAAGATAGGCAAGTAGCAAATAAGTATATGAAAGGTGCTTTACATTGTATGTCATCAAGGAAATGCAAATTAAAACAAAAATGAGATACCGCCACACACCTATTAGAAAGGCTAAAATCCAGAACACAACACCATCAAATGCTGGTGAGAGTGTGGAGCAACAGGAATTCTCATTCATTGCTGGTGGGAATACAAAATGGTACAGCCACTTTGGAAGATAATTGGCCATTTCTTACAAAGCTAAACATAGTCTTACTATATGATCCAAGAATCATGTTTCTAAGGTATTTACCCAAATGAGTTGAAATCTTATGCCCACAACCAAACCCTGCATAAAGGTGTTTATAGCAGCAGCTTTATTTATAATTGCTCCAAATTGGAAGCTACCAAGATACCTTTTAATAGGTAGGTTAATTGATAAACCATGGTACATCCATATTAGTGGAAAACTATTCAGCAATAAATAGAAATGAGCTACCAAGCTGCAAAAAGATGTGGAGGAACATTAAGTGCATACTGTTAAGAGAAAGAAACCAGTCTGACTGCATCCTGTGTGATTCCAACTATATGGCATTCTGGAAAAGGCAAAACAGTAGAGACAGCGGTTGGACAGGGAAGGGAGGAGGAAGGAATGGGTGGCACACAAGGGCTATTAGAGCAGTGGAACTGTTCTGTATGGGGCTGTAGGATAGGATAACGGTGGGGACTGAACATTATGCAATTGGCAAAACTCAGAGAACTGCACAACAACACAAAGACTGATCCTAATGTAAACTTTGGGCTTTGTATGAAGCAAACACACGTTCCTGGCTGGGTCTTCCTCCCTGGAGACTTCTATCCAAGCAGCTAATATAACTCAACACCTTTCTCCCACCATAGTCAAACACTAGGTTGAGCCATATGAAGTTGCATCTTTACATGTCAAAAATGTTAGCATATTGGCAATTCCATATGGTCCAACCAAATACAGCCACACATACACAGTATGTAAAATGTAAAAAATGTAAAAAAATGGGCTTCAGTTAATAAGAGTGTATCAGTATTAGTTCATCAATTGTAACAAGTGTGCCACACCAATGCAAGCTGTCTATTATAGAGAAAACTGCATGGGGGAAAGAGCATACGGGAACCCTCTGTACTCTTTGTTCAACTTTTTGTAAACCTAAAAGTGCTTTAAGAAATAAAGTCTAATTAAAAAAATTAATTTACGGACTTACTGTTTCTACTATTTTTGTTTACAGTGTTTAATGACAGAATTTTGACAGATGGCCAAGCTGGTAGATTGGGTTTGGTCTTTGGTTATTGTGTGAATTGCATTTCCCTGAGTTCTACTTAGAGGGACCATTTTTTCCCATATTGTAGGACTTCCCAAATTTGCTTATGATAAATTGCCTGTTCCTGTCTTTTGCTTGTTTTCCCAGTTGATGGTTGACCTTTCGATTGTGGAATTGTGGGAGTTGAAACATTTCTGCTCAATCATACTTTTTTTTACACGTGGCAAATATTTTCTCACAATCTGTCATTTCTTTCTCAACTTGGATAATGATGTCTTTTGTCCCACAGAAAGCTTTAAATTTTGGAAGAGTTTGGCTTGGAAGCAGGTTTCTGAGGAGGCATGTGATCTGAGCTAGCCCTCAGTCAAAACCCATTTCTCCACCAGTTTTGTCCTTTTTGCTCCCGATTCTCCAAACTGAACCCTGTTCAGATGTGTCCATGGAGGCTCCATTTGGCCATGTTTTGAAACTGGCACAGCTTTATCTAATGGGATGAACCAGGCTAAAGAGATTAGCAAGATGTCTTGTGGATCCCACTTTTAATCAGCAGTGTTCAGGCTGTCCCTGCTCGGCTGGGGAGGGAGCTGCAGAAACGACGCTGAGGACTGGCCCCTTCATGAGTAGTGACTCTGGAGCCCCTGTTGCCACTACTGAGTTAACGGGGGTCCCAGGCTAGGGGACTCAGCATGGGCAGCCCCCAGAGCAGCTCTCTGCAGCTCAGGCTGTCTGCACCCTTCCCAAGGCCCTGAGCCTTCAGCCCCTGGGCTCACCGAGGTCAGGAGTGGGAACTGTGCTGTGGGAGGCGGCCTGGACTGCACGCTGCAAACATGGCGCTGATGAAAGTCAAATTTGACCAGAAGAAGCGGGTCAAGTTGGCCCAAGGGCTCTGGCTCATGAACTGGCTCTCTGTGCTGGCTGGCATCATCATCTTCAGCCTAGGGCTGTTCTTGAAGATCGAACTTCGGAAGAGGAGTGATGTGATGAATAATTCAGAGAGCCACTTTGTGCCCAACTCCTTGATAGGCGTGGGGGTGCTGTCCTGTGTCTTCAACTCCCTGGCTGGCAAGATCTGCTATGACGCCCTGGACCCTGCCAAGTATGCCAAGTGGAAGCCCTGGCTGAAGCCATACCTGGCGGTCTGTGTCCTCTTCAACAATGCCCTCTTCCTGGTGGCCCTCTGCTGCTTCCTAATGCGGGACTCACTCGAGGGCACCTTGGCCCATGGGCTCAAGAATGGCATGAAGTACTACAGGGACACAGACACGCCTGGCAGGTGTTTCATGAAGAAGACCATTGACATGCTGCAGATCGAATTCAAGTGCTGTGGCAACAATGGCTTTCGGGACTGGTTTGAGATTCAGTGGATCAGCAATCGCTACCTGGACTTTTCCTCCAAAGAAGTCAAAGAGTGAGTGGCCTCCAATCCTGGGGTCATGGGGACATGGAGGCTCGGTGCCTTTTCCTCCCCATTGGGTGATTTGTGTAGACACATATTACTGTGTATGTGTGGCTGTATTTGGTTGGACCATATGGAATTGCCAATATGCTAACATTTTTGACATGTAAAGATGCAACTTCATATGGCTCAACCTAGTGTTTGACTATGGTGGGAGAAAGGTGTTGAGTTATATTAGCTGCTTGGATAGAAGTCTCCAGGGAGGAAGACCCAGCCAGGAACGTGTGTCTGCTTCATACAGAAGGGATGGGACATTCGTAGATCACATATCCTGAGATGTTATTTGGCTATTTGTCTCATTCACTCCAAGTACATGATTCAGTCCCAGAAGCTTAAATTTCCTGGTGGGCTCTCCTCTTTTTCAACCTTCCAGCCCTAAGCAACCCCTTTCAGGGTGTCTGTCCTTGGACATGGGGGAAAGAGCAGAGGCCAGGGGAGTTAGGAAGTCTAGGCCATAGTTTTGGGTCTGCTGTTAATTAGCTTGTGACCTTGGATAAGGCACTTGCCACTCTGGGCTTCTTGTCCATCTTCTAAATGGAGGCCCTGGAATAGTCTTGGAGGAGACACCCTACCTCTGTCTAAAGCCTGGCATTCAGCAGGTGCTCATTAAATGCCTGCTAGTATTACCTTCTTCAATCATGATAGTGTAACATGATATTTTGCTTGTGCAAAAATAAAATCCTGAGGTGGGATGTAGGCAGGTATTGGTGAGAAAGAGAATTTCATCCTCTGTGCTAGAGATAACAGTGCATGTACAGATTCCAGCTGCTGCTCTTCTCGATAGACCCCGCCATGATGGGCCTCCTGTCATTTTCCAGAGAAAGGGGAACCTGCCCCAAGCTAGTGGCTCTTCCTCACCTCTTCTTTCTGTCCAACTACCTCCATTCCCTGGCTGAGGCGAGGGGTTCAGTTGTTCATCCAGATAGTTTTTCCTCTGAGTAAGGCTTGCAGGTCCCAGGGGACTTGCACACAGGGTGCTGGGCCCACTGTCAACAGGGCATGGTGGAGCCCGGAGAACATGAGGCCAGATGGCTAGCTTAGCTGCACCCCACATGGAAGGGTAGTCAGATTGAAGGTCACTGCTTGGGATTTTATTTTCTCTGTGAATGGGGATTACTGCTACAAATCCCTCATCAGGAGAGGCTTGTAAACCATTCTGCCCTTCCTAGGTGACAGGTTTGCAGGGACAGTACAAGGTGGCATGATTTACACAAGTTGCTCCAGGAGGCTGTGAAGCCAGAGGCACAAGCAGAATTCCTAGGGGTGAGAGAGGTGGGGCAGGATGCAGCCTTCGTGAAATGAGAAGGACTTTTCACCTTTTCCTGTCATTTTCCTCGATTGCCTTCTGCACAGTCCTTGGAGAGACTTCTAAAATCTCTCAGTAAACCCCAAGTCCCTTCTTGTCCCAGAGCCAAGAAATTCTCTGGGTTGCTTCACTCCCAAAGGTCAGCATGTCTACATTTCAGGCAAACATTAAACTTGATTGAAACTACCTCAATTCTCCATAGCAGCTTGTTTGTGTGAAACTGTCTAAATTCCATTCACTTGAAAAAGTTTCTCTGTTACACAAAAAAATATGATGACATTAAGAGAAACAAAAACAGGAAAAAGGCCAGGTTCTCATCCACAAATGGCTTTAATTTTTCCACATTTCAATTTAGTCTTGTTAACATTTACATAATAACATCGTGTAACCATGGCATAAATGTAATTAAGTGCCCCAATTTGTAATTTGGTAGTATAACATTTGCATCTGTTCAAAACAGTTGTTTTACTCCCAGCTTTACTGAGAAATTGACAACACTGTGTAAGCTTAAGGTGTACAAGGTGTTGATCTGATACATTTATATACTGCAAAATGATTGTCACTATAGCATTAGCTAACCCCTGCACCATGTCACATAATTACTATTTCTTTTTTGTGGCAAGAACATATAAGTTCTATCTCAGCAACTTTCAAGTATATAATACAGCATGATTAACTGTAATCACCATGCTGTACATAATATCCCCAGAACTTATTTATCTTATAACTGGAAGTTTGTATCCTCTGACCAACATCTTCCCTCCACCCCCACTCCCAGCCACTGGCAACCTGCATTCTAGTCTCTGGTTTTATGCACTGGGGGCTTTTATATTCCACATATAAGTGATAAACGATCATGTTTAATGGTCACATGATGTGCCACTGAATGAATGGACACACTTAGGCAGGCATTTCAGTTGTTTTTATTTACTTCCATTATAAACTGGAGTGGGGCATCTTTGGGCCTTTTTCTTCTCTGGCTCTCAGTCTCTTGTTTCTCTTACTTCCCTTAGGCTAAACTTCCAGGAAGGAAAATGTATCTGCTGGCTTCATCTTTCCACAGAGCTCGTCTCAAGACACCATTGTAGAACTGAAATGCCTTTCTCCTTTCCCAAACCTCCAGTGGCTTGACACTCCTGTGTGGCTAGCAGTATAGCTTGCTAGGTTCACTTTTGCAGAGAGAGGACCATGTCATCATTTCCCACAAACTTGCAAATTAGTGGTGGGTGGACAACACCTGTGAGCGAGGTGAGGCTCTCAGCGCTGTGACTAGAATGCGGTGGGGGTGGCATTGCCTGAGGGCCAGAGTTAGCATAGGGCTTATCTCTTGGTGGAAAGAATTTACAGAGAAATGAATGAGAAAATGTGGAGTGGCTCTTTCCCCATCTCCCCCAGGGCGCTACTTTTCTTTTTTTCTGTTTATATTTAGACTGTTTCACTTAGGAGGAGTATTAAGTTTGCCTGACCAAGCTGGCTCCCAAAAATCCTCCCCTGAAAACTGTCAGGTGTATTTATGTTTTTGAGAGGGCATGCCCTCAGAAGTGCTACACACTTACTGTTTTCTGGCTTTTCTCAGCAGCACCCTCTGGGCTAGGATTCTGAGGCAACAGAGACAAAGAGAAGCAGGGTGGGCCCAGCAGGAGGGTAGGGCAGGCGAGGCAGCAGTATCAGCTTTCCCCAAGATCTTTTTCAAAGACATTTTTCTGTTCCTCTTTTCCTTTCTGCACCACAGTGGGATGAGGCAGCCAGAAGGCTGGGCGGACCTCCTCCCCTCCTTGACTCTGAGGATTCCAAGAGGCGAGCCCAGGAACTGGGAGCCAGTCAGAGGGTGGGAGGTGCCGGGAAAATGCGCCAGGGACGCCGGCAGGACTTTATACCCAGGGACTTACTCAGACAGAAATCTTCAAAGAAATACTGATACTGCACTTGGTTTACCAGGCGCTCTCTGTGTGTTACCCTATTTAATCGTCACCACACCCCTGCCAGGTACTTATATTGGCATTTCTCAGAGAAGAAAACTGAGGCGAGTTGCCAAGGCTCCACAGGAATCACTCCGCTAGCGTTCGGTTGGGGACCGACTCACATTGGTTATTTCCTGCCTCCTCTTCTCCCCTCGCCTGTTCATTTCCTTGTGGTTTTCCTCGTTGATTTACTGACTTGCCTACTAAACCATGTTGGTTTTTCCAGGAAAGCTTTGATGTGATGTTTTTTCAAATAAAATGTGGCTTGGCTATGGGAGAGCAGGCCAGAACACAGGGCATGTCTTAACCAAGACCCGTCAAGCCCTGGCGAGCCCTGAGCAGAGCGAGATTTGCAGCCTGCAGGACCCTCTGATAGCGACAGCTCGCCACCTGAGGGGCTCTCCCCGCCTGGCTTTGCCTTAAGAGGAGTGAGGCCTCAATCTGAGGCTGGGGCCAGGCGAGCACTGAGTGAACATGATGATGCTTCTGCCAGACACCGAGGGCTGGGCCCAGAGAGTGGGTCTCCACGAGGAGCCAGGCTGGGGGCGAGCGAGGCCCCCACCTCCCCCAAGCCAGACCCGCCTCCCCCGTGCTGACCTGGCCCTTCCTCAGGGAGCCCCAGTCTGAGGGGGCACAGCCCTGGCCTGCGGAGGCCAGCAGGGTAGCCCCACTGGGGGTCAGCGAGGTGAGGCGGGAAGACGGCGGGCTGTGCAGAGCCCGCAGGACAGGGGCAGCCCGGGGCGTGTCCTGGCCTCAGCCCGCTGCAGGCCCGGCTCTCGCTTCAGACACACATGCAGTCCGGGTGGCGCAGGTCTGCGGGCGTCGGCCGGCTTAGGGACACGGCGAGTAAGTTCACGAGGAGAAACCACGGTGGGCAGGAAAGGGCCGCTGGCCGGGAACGGGAGGGGACGCACACCTCCCCGCGGGTTTAACTAGAAAAGCCCGCAGGCAGGAAAGGCCTGAGGAGCCCCCGGGGAACGAACCGAGCGGAGGGGCGGGCAACCGGCGGCTTGGGCCGGCCTGCCACCCCGTGCGTGGCTTTGCGGCCGGCCCTCTGGGCCGGCTTCGCTCTGGGCCCATGCGCTCCTGTGGGGAACAGTCCGGCGGACCTCGGGGTCCCGCCGGCCGGCCCCACCTGGGAGGGGCTTTCCCGGAGGCCTGCGCCAGGCGCCCCCCCCAGCGACCCCCTGAAGCTCCCCGCAGCCAACGCACCTCACGCGGGTCCAGGTGCGAGGTCCCGCATCGCAGATGCAGAGCTGGACTCCAGGCCTGGCTGTCCCGCACCCACCCCCCGCCGCGGGGCCGCGGGGGGCGGCTCAGGAGGGCCCGCAGGGCAGGAGGGCACGGACAGCGTTGGAGTTTGGAGCCCCCACCAGCCGGAGAGGCCTGCTGGGCTTGGTCCTGGGGGTGGGAGGCTGCCGTCTGCCCAGGTGTGCGGGGCTGCCGGCCCCTCCAGAGGGGTGGGAGCGCCCAGCAGAAGGCCTCTCCACGCAGCCCCCCCACCCAGGGCAGCGGGTGCCCCGAGCAGGGGCTGCGAGGGAGAACTGAGCTGCTTCTGCTCCCGCCGCGCTTGGGCAGCCACTGGGCTCGAGCAGGAACTTCGGCAGCGGCCACTTCTGCCATGTGACAAATGTCTGACAGTGCCTGCCGGGCCTGCGGTGAGCTCTGCCCTCACGCACGGTCGCTGCCCTCACAGAAAGCACCCACAGCTTCTCCGCAGGGCCAGAGCCCACGCCTCCCGAGTGGCTTGCAAATGACTGTCCCCCTCAGGGTCGTGTGTGCTGCTCCACTGTCACAGCTGCGCACGCAGCACACGGGAAGGCTCGGCCCAGCCTCGGCCCGTGAGTCTGTGTTTATTGTGCACTTATTATATACCAGCCACTCTTCCAGCCTTTTTACATGATCCTCATGTCAAACAACCTTTTGCAGATGAGGAAACTGAGGCCCGGAGAGGGTCAGGAGCTTGTCCAGAGGGAAAAGCTGGGCGCAAACTCAGGCTGCCCTGCACCAGGGCCACCCCTTCCTTCTCAGGACAGCTGGCCCTGTCCCTTAAGTAGAGGTCAGGGACTGCAGAGCGTGTGGAAATACAGCCATTGCAACCAGGCGAGGATTGTTCTGGAATCAAGGAGGCCACGTTGTGCAGAGCCATCTTAAAAAAGTCTTACTTGGACCAATCTACTGAAAACAGACCACAAATGGCTTTTAAACATATTGAAAGATACTCAACTTCACTCATAATAAGAAAATGGAAATCACAACAACTCAGATACTATTTTCCTTCAGATTGGCAAAGTAAAAAATGGAACTCGTGTGGGTGCGGCTGTGAGGGGCAGGCTCTCTGGTGTGTGTCTGGTGGGGTGTGACTGCACAGCCCTGAGGGGAGGTGTATGGCAGGGATCTGGTGCCCTCACAGATGGGCCCATCCTTTGACCCGGGGATGCCTCTTCTGATAATTTACCCTCTAGAGGTAGTCACAACGTGCAAAATGATCCACGTCCCTGTTTATACTAACAGGCGATGGAAACCCCAAACATCCACCGACAGGGAGCCGGCTGGTGCCCCACAGACCATCTGTGCAATGGGAATACCACACGGCTCATTAAAAACCTGAAGAACAGTCTCCATGGACAGACATAAAAAGATCTCTAAGATACTGCTAAGAGAAAAAACAAAGGTTCAAGACAGTATGCATATAAATATTACCATTTGGGTAAAACAAACAAACTAGGCAGAGTAAGAACATTCGCAGAATGTGTATTTCCCTGTTCATGCATGAAGCCTCTCTGGAAGGACAGAGGCAGTTGGCCACAGTGGGCAGAACCTGGAGGCCAAAGGACACCAGTGAGAAGAAGCCTTTTTTTGTATTAAGAGATTTATTTAGAAGTAACCATAGACATCTTTTTTTTAAAGTATAATTTCCACTTCAATGACATTGCTGAAATGATTTCTATTTTATTTATTTTTAACTGAGGTGTAATTGATGTGTTAGTTTCAGGTGTGCAACAAAGTTTTGCTATGTGTATATATTGTGAAATGATCACCACAGTAAGTGTAGTTAACATCTGTCACTATACATACAGAATTTTTTTCTTGTGATGAAAAATTTTAAGATTTATTCTGTAACTTTCAGATATACATTTCAGTATTATTAACTATGATCTCCATGCTTTACATTACATCTTCATGACTTATTTATTTTATAACAGAAGTTTGTTCCTTTTGACTCTCTTCACCCATTGGTCTATCCCTCCCCCCAACCTCTGCTAGAACCAATTTGTGCTTCTATACATAAGTGAGATTATATGGCATTTGTCTTTCTCTGACATATTTCATTTAGCATAATGCCCTCAAATTCCAACCATGATGCTCCAAATGGCAGTATTTTCTTTTTTATGGCTGAATAATATTCCATTCTCTCTATATACCACAGTTTCTGTATCCATTCATCCATCAATGGACATTTAGGTTGTTTCCATGTCTTTGCTATTGCAAATAATACTGCAATGAACATAGGGGTACTTACAACATCTTTTTGAGTTAGTTTTTTATTTCCTTTGGATAAATACACCCAAGTGGAATTACAACTTCTATTTTAAATAATTATATGCTTTCTATTCTTGTAAAAGTCTGCTGTTATGTAATGCATTGTTCATATGTAACTTAAAACAAAGTTTTTTGACTCAAGATGACATGCATATAGTCAGGTGCACCCATCTTAAGTTGCAGCTTGATAAATTTTGACACATAAAGATGACTGGGGTCCAGGTGGCCAGACGGGGAGTTCTAGACCAGTGTTGTCTCCCAAAACATTGACATAGCAGCTGAGTTTATTTGTACTGGGGCCACCACAGTGGATATGGCTGGTTCAGGGGCTGGCACTGAGACAGTGTTTGATCAAATGGCAGCTTAATTGTTGGCTATGCCAGGAACCTGTCTCTCAAGCAGCAGGTCCTCAATGCCATTCTGGGCTTCACCCTGTCTGAGGCCATGGGGCTCCTCTGTTTGATGGTCACCCTCCTCATTCTCTTCACCATATGAGGCTCTTCAGGGGTCACCTACCCACTCTGCTGCTTCAGCTCAAGGCCATGCCTAGTGCTGGAGTTTGCTAAGCTTTACCATTAAACGTGACATTGCTCTTAAAAAAAAAAAGATGCCTGGGGAACTTCACCTAGGTCAGTCAGAACAGACCCGCACACCTGATGGAGAGGGAAAGAATTTTCACAGTAAAGGTGTCCACCCCTTTTGAATTCTGAGCCACCATTGAATGTATGTTGTGCTCTAACCATATCTGTAAATATAGAAGTGTAAAGTCATGCCAGCAGCAGCCTTCAGGTGAGTAAGGAGCTCACACTGGCTGGGGGAAGAGTTCACTGGATGGCTGAGGCCCTGGACTATACCTGCCTCAAGTCTCATCCTCTGCCTTTGCACAGCCCCTGGGCCAGAGCAGGCCTTCTGGAAACATTTCTTGAGCCAAACTGATTTGGCCAGAGGGAGCTGTGGTCCCCAGGGGCCTGTAAGGGGACATGAGTTTGGAGAGGGAGTTGGGGGCTACAGACTTGGTCATGAATGAGAGACAGAGCCTTGTCCTACAGTCACCACTTCCTGCTGCGCTTCCTACCGGCCTGACATGGGTCCAAGAAATTGCTGCATGCCAGGACCAGGCAGCACACAGAGTGGTTGGATGGATTCTGTATTCCCTATCTTCTTGCTTCTCAGTTTACCATTTGTCTCAGTTCTCTAGGACATCAGCTCCAGAAAGCAGGGCCATTGGCTCTCTGGGTCACTGCTCCATCTTCAGCACCTACAACAGTGGCTGACACATAGTAGGGGCACAGCAAACATTTAGCTAGACAGTGAATGCATGCATACATACATGAATGAATATTCTAGCTTTCAAGGTGGGGACCAGAGGAACTGGCCCCTGATGAGTAGTCTGAGAAGTCCCTCTCAAGCTGTCTTTCTTCTCCAGTCGCATCAAGAGCAATGTGGACGGGCGGTATCTGGTGGATGGCGTCCCCTTCAGCTGCTGCAACCCCAGCTCGCCACGGCCCTGCATCCAGTACCAGCTCACCAACAACTCGGCACACTACAGCTATGACCACCAGACTGAGGAGCTCAACCTGTGGGTGCGCGGCTGCAGGGCAGCCCTGCTGAGCTACTACAGTAGCCTCATGAACTCCATGGGTGCCGTCACGCTCCTTGTCTGGCTCTTTGAGGTAGGCCCTGAGCCAGATGGGGACAAAGGAAGAGGGAGCCACCTGCCCCGTTTGGCTTTAACAAGGGAAAGCCAGACCTGGAATGCGTGCTTCTCTGCCCAGAACCAGCCCTCAGCTCAGCTGTGGGTCATGTGGGCCTAGGATTGAACCCCAGCACCTCTATTTTTTTTGTTTGTTTCCTATCACTTAAAAAATATTTATTGAGGTGAAATACACAGAACATAAAATTAACCATTTTAAAATGAACAGTTCAGTGGCATTTAGTACATTCACAATGTTGTCAAATCACCACCTTTCTTTTGTTCTAAATCATTCCCATCAATCTCAAAGAAAATCTCACACCTGCCAAGCAGCATGCTCCCCACCCAGACCCTTCCAGCCCCTGGCAGCCATTAACCTGTATTCTGCCCTTGTGGACTGACCTATTCTGGATATTTCATATCTATGGAATCATGTAATATGGGACCTTTTATGTCCGGCTTCTTTCACTTTGCATGTTTTAGAGGTCCATCCTGTGCCTCCAAATTTTGAGTCTAAGGTCTTGGAAAGCTATTTAACCTCTCTGTTATGTGGAGCTGACAACAATTAGCTTTGAGACTATTGGGAGGCAACAGGAGATAATAGGTACATTGAGGTGTTGGGTAAATGGGAGCTAATTGGATTTGTGCTTCTCTTGAGATTCCAGTAGCAATTTATCTGTCAGTATAACTATTTGTAGTCCATCTTATCTCATCTCATCTGTACGGCTTAATTCCTCGCTGTAGCTACAAGGATTGGGATGTAGCAAGCCTTCATACATTCACTTATTGAAGAGTTCACCAACTCTTAGGCGGGCTCAGCACTGTCCTTGGGGCTGAATGGGAGCCCGTTTTAATGACTGGTAAACCAAGGGGGCACAGATGGCCATTCAGGGGCTCCTGCTTTTAGCAGAAAGCAGAAAATAGAGAGTCCAAAGCCAAACACACAAAACCAGAAACATCAGGTGGGGAAATTTTGTTCATCAGAGAAGACTCACTGAAATGTTTTTTTTTTTTAAGTAAATCACTCTCTTCAAACTTACAGAACCACTTCTAACTCACCACATCACCCTGGAGGGACTGTATGGACTTGGAGAAGGGGTGGGCTTCCTTAATGTTGAGGCAAACACAAACATCTTCATGGTGACTTATTGCCCATTGATTCCTTGAGGCAGAATCTTAGGAGCGAGTGAGTAGAATGAGGAGAGAATCTTACTGCTAGGTTAGAAGGTCACATTCCCTGAAAACCCATGGAAAGAATACTGAGGATGGCAGAAATCAGTGGGACACTGGGGTTCCATGGGCTGCCTCTCAGTTTACTCTTTATGACTACAGAAGAGGAGGACCAGCTCACTGGGAACGGGAGTAGGAGTGCCCCCAACTTTTAGTTAAGGCTTTCTGGTGGGCAGAGCTCTGTGATGGTCATGAGGGCGGCTGAGCTGATGACAGACTGCCCTGAGCCTTCCCTTCTGGGCTTCACAATCCAGTTAGAAGACATATAGTTCCTGAACCAAAGAGAGGACCATCACCAAGTGCGAAATTCATAGCAGAGTGGCAGGCCTCCTTTAGGAAAGCAAGAGAGAAACAGTGGGCACATGCACCCCAGGAGGACCTCCTGGAGAAGGTGTTTCCCACCATTAAAAATACCTCATTAAACTTTCAAGGGACAATAACAATAACAAACACCTAAAACTATTAGTTACTATGATTATCTACCACTGTAATTATAAAATGCTCCCAGAGCATTCATCCAACAGATGTTTACTGAGGCCCTGCCACCACTGGGTGCTGTTCTAGGCGCTGGGATACTGGGCAAACAAAACGGGTTGGGGCCACCCGTACCCTCTGGGGTGGGCTTCCTCCGTTAGCAGCTCTAGGAGTCTTACAGACTTTTCTATACCTCCTTCTACCTTTGTAAAAGGAGAATCAGAAGAGAGCAGATACGGGACTTGGGTAGAAACAAGTGACTAGCACAACACATTATTAGAAAAGTGGAACAATATTTAACATGCTGATTAACAATCAACTACATCTGACATTTCTATTTCTCCTTCCTGTGCACCAGGTCTGCGCTGTACACACACTGGTATCACAGTGTGCATAGGGGGTAGGTGACACTATCTGAAAATCAACCAGGCTTCCCAGTCACAATGCTGGTTAAGTGCTAGTGCTCGGTTTGAACACAGGCCTTTTGGCCCCAGAGTCTGTCACAAGTGTCTACTAGTGCACAAATCCAATCATCACTCATCCCCACACTAATCAGACGGAAGTAGGAGGGAACCACATATATTGTTGGTAGAAATGGGGGTGATGACTTCTGTCCAGCAAATATGTGCCAAACAATATGCTAGGAATGGGTGAGAGGTCACAGGGATAAGGATCCCAGGACTAATGCCCCCAGGACGGGTGGGACCCTAGAGGGAGAGGAGGAGAATGAGTAGCTGAGGGCTGAAGCTGCATTAACAGGTGAATGTGGAGAGGAGCAATGTTCTAGCCAAGAAAATTTCAAATGGTGAGAACTGGAAAGATAAAAGGCCTGGGTGCAGGCGGGGTGGAAAGAAGCCCTGGGTGGCCAGCAAAGGAGAATGGAGCTGAGGATGAGATCGGGGAGGAGGCCGGGATGGTGAGGTCCTCATCAACCTGGGCTCCACAGGGCCTGCCTCATTCAAACGGCCCTGGGGAGCAGGCGGTGGCTCCCATGGTTTGCAGATAGCTCCAGCCCCCAGCCACTTTTCCCAGCTCTCCTGTCTCCTCTCCCCCGACCAGGTGGCCATCACCATGGGGCTGCGCTACCTGCACACGGCACTGGAAGGCGTGACCAACCCCGAAGACCCCGAGTGTGAGAGCGAGGGCTGGCTTCTGGAAAAGAGCCTGTGGGAGACCTGCAAGGCCATTCTGGAGAGCTTGAAAAAGCTGGGCAAGAGTAACCAGGTGGAAGCTGAGGGTGCAGACGCAGGCCAGGCCCCGGAGGCTGGCTGATGGGCTCGGGATTCCCTGCCCCTCCTACACATGGAGAAGTAGTGGACGCCAAGAAATGTGGATACCCCCTCATCCAGGCTGAATCTCCCAAGGAGGATGGTCATCCTATGGAGACTCTTCCTGATGGTGGGAGTTAAAGTTTAGGATCCCTAAAAGCAATTGGCAAACATTTGAATGACTGAGGCAAAATGTGAATGAATGAGTCCCTGCCCAGGTCCCCTGCCCTAGGCTGTGCCCTCCAGACTTGGGGGGCCTCCCAGCGAATGACTTCATAGCCCATGAATTCAGTGCCACCCGAGGGCCGAGTGGCCAATCCTTTTATGAGTTTGTCGCTATGAGCTCTAAGTTGCTTCCTTCTCTATCTGAAGCATCAACGGCACAGGAGTCTGAAAAATGTATGGGCCATGCTGTCATTTTTTTGTAAATGCCAAGATGGACAGGTCAGCCATTTTATTTAGCTGTGGAAGGTGGGGGACAGTTAAACTTTCGTAAGATAATGGACTCTCCAAAGCACTGAGGGCTCAGCAGAGGAATTCTCCAAACATGGGGCAAGAGAGCTTACAGATGGGATTACTCTCCCCCACCAAAAACACAGTGGAAGACCTGCTTTTGTGTCACACTCACGGGCCCTCAGTCACTTAGCCAGGAGGGAGCCGTGGGCAGCGGCAGGCCAGTTGTTGACATGTTCCAGCAACATCCCACCCCTGACGTGCCAGGTGACCTCCTTCGGCTTGTCTGTGAAGCACTGTCAGATGGCTGTCCTTCTGTGGAAGAGGAGCAACAGTCAGCCAAGTCCACCCTTTGGAGACCTGGCCCCACCGCGGGGTGGGCTCATGAACACCCACCCAGGCGGCTGTGACAGCCTCCGTGGACAACACTAGTGGCCTACAGTGGAGGACAGAGTCCTCTGGAGCTTCTTCCTCCTTCTTTCCCCAGATGACCGTCCTGCAACAATATTTCTGCAACACCTCTGCATTTAAGAAATTTCTTTAAGGCAGCCCAGCTCAACTTCCCAAGCTAGCAACTCCAAGACGTGTTTTCACTTCCCTCAGAAAAAAGACAGAAATGAAGCTTTAGGGGAAGGAGCTTCCTCATTGTCGTCCTGTGTTCAGTGTGGAGAAAATAAGACGGCCGCTCCCTGGGGTATGTTCTGGGGTTCTACTTCTCCCAGGCTTGAGACCAGATAAAGATGTCTGGACGCTGTGAGACTCTGGTCCCAGGTTTATTGTAATTAGACTTGAGTCTCCTTGAGACCAAGGAATGACCCACATTGAAGGTGGTGAGGAACTGAGCCAGCCACCTCTGATGAGGGCCCCGGAGCTCTCTCCCCTCAGGGGTGCTGAGAAACATCACGGACGTGCTGCTCTGGGCCCACGTGTGTAACTGTGCTATTGACAGCTGTACAATAGACATTAAAAATTGTGTTGTATGAAAGTCACTTTGGTTAATGACTCTCTTAGCCTATTCAACAGGAAGCATCACAGGATCCCCAGCTGGAGCTAGTATTTGTCAAATCAAACCAAACTGGACAGCATTGTTAGTGATCAGGGGAGCTGTTTCAACAGTGTGGGTGTCACCTCCCTCCCTCTTGTTCTCTCTTATCTGCAGAAACAGTGTCTGTAATCCAAATAATCTCAACATTGTGTTAAGAGTTTGGACCACAGTTGCATTTATTTAGTATTTGAATATGTGGAATCCCAATGTAGAGATGCAAACAAAAATTCCAAATCTTTTTTTTTCTCTGCTCTAGTCAAAACATATTTTCCCTAACAGGGGAACATGAGTCTCTATAGGGCCAGATTATAAGGCAGATTAAAGCAATCTCAGAACCTGAGAACCCCTGGGAGGGCCAAGGGCAAACCGACCCTATGAAGGCCTCACCAACTGGGTTGCAGCAGACCTCGGGTGAGCAGCATTTGGACAGGTCTCAGGTAGCCAGGTAGTTGCTGGAGAAACATGCCCATGTCTTTTGGTCATCTACCAGTTCCCAGCAAGACTCTGGTACCAGGTTCTTCCTTGCATCTAACCTCAGTGTTTCCTTGGGCCACTGTGACTTCATTTCTCTCAAAAGATTCAGCCAGTTTTTAAAGTCCTGCTGGCCTTGTCCTGCTGTAGGGTGAGAGGTGAGGACAGCACTTAGGACTTCCATTTTGAAAACACTCCAAAGTGAAGAAGTAGGTAATAGGTACTTTATCTGAACATTTAGGAAGAGACATGTCTGAGCTGAAAAGCCTCAGCTGCAGAACCCACTGCCTCTCTCAATACTTTCAAGTGCAGGACTGAGCTACCAGCAAATAAACCCTGAGTAACCTCAATAGGAGTTAATAAGATTAATTGCTTTCTCTGTGCGCATCCCTGCCCCTCCTTGTAATGCTAGGCCAGCAGGTTTGCGGCTTAGCTGGCGTGGGGGCAAGGAGACCAAGACAATTAGGGCCTCTGACCGGCCACTAGATAAAAAGATGGCTCCTGGTGGCAGTGTCACCAGCCAGCAGCACTGTGGGTCAGGAGGAAGAATGTGGGGGCATACTACAGAAGCCCAGGGAGAGAATGTCTTCCCAGTCCTCAGTAGGCAGGGGATTGAGGAAGCATCAGTCTGTAATTGCTGATGGCATATCTTGTTCTCCAAAAGAGAGGATGCGTCTAAATAGCCAAGGTAAGGAGAATGTTGTGCAAGGGTGTAAAACCCAAGTGCGAAGGATGGTCTTAGGTCATAGGGACAATGCCTAGCTGTTTACCCACGGGGAATGAAAACTGAGGTCCCACAAAAACCTGTACATCAATGTTTTTGGTGGTTTGTTCATAATCACCAAAAATTGCCCAAATATCATTGTGTTGGTGACAAAATGTCTGCACAACGGAATAGACCCAGTGACCAAAAGGAACATTGATGACTTTCAAAGGCACAGTTTTCTTACTGAGAGAAGCCAGACTCAAAAGGCTATGCACGATACATACTTACGAGACATTCTGGAAGAGACAAGGCAAAGGGACATGAAGGAATGTCCTGGGGTGACAGAATTATTCTATTTCTTGATTGAGGTGGTAGTTGAACAACTGTATGCATTTGTCAAAAGGCATAAAACTGTCTACCAAAAGGGTGACTTTTACTATCTGTAAAATGAAACTCAATAAACCCGACTTAAGCATAATAGAGAAAGCAAGGGGTATCAGAGGGGCTTAGCAAGTCCTGGAACTGATGCCTTTAGGGCCAGGGAAGGGATAAGCAAGGACCAGGGATGCGCAAAAGAAACCTTGCATTCTTAGTTGCTGCTTTCCTTTGAAGAGGATTTTGAAAAGCACAGCAGGTCTCTCCTAGGCAGACTCTCCTGCAAACACATGCTGTTGCTTTCTTCCTGTATGTGTCTCTCCTGAGCAAGTGTCTGAGGACTGTGTGAGAACAAGGACCTGGAGGTCACCACATAAGGATGAGCAGTTAAGTCTCAACCTGGAGACCCATCTTGGAGCTTGGACAGACTTTGAGTGCCTGTTTGCCCAGTGATTTCAGGTCTACAATTGTTCAGAAAGGTCACAAGCTGTCATAGTCAAAGAAGAGGAAACTTAAGCAGCTGAAATGATGATCAAGCTTTCTCTGGGAAGGTCAAGATGGTTTGGCTAATGGCTGTAACTGACACTAATAATATAAGCATCTTAGATTTCAAGCTAATACAGGCGTCCCACTTTATTTGTAGCAAGGTGACATGGGGAACACTTTATGGCATTTAAATGTGTGACACAAAACAAATACAATATAGGCAGACCCAAAGTAGTAACACCTAAAGCATTTATTTGGGTATCTTTAAACTTTTTACATATGATACATTCCAAATTTTACAAGTTGTCCACAGATATTTAAAGTTATAGCCAATGTATTAAACAGGTATGATTTTCCCTGATACAGAAAGCATGATTATATAAACATTTCTATAATAAACATGATACATGCAGAACAAATCATAAAACTAGTATGATTCCTTAGGAAGGGGAGACAATTAGCTTAATGACGCACACACCAGAAGACAGAGGGGTGCATGCCCTGCTATTTCATGGAAATTCATTTTCTCTCAGACCCCTGACATTCTCAGAGAATGGAACCCAGGGACACCTCTGCTAACAAGAGTCAGCCCCAAAAGCCTGAGTATTGTTATGATGTGGTGAAAATGTTTATAATTCACTTACAGAGGGAGAAACATGGTCTTATCATTTAAAATATAAGCTTGATGAACATATGGAGAAAAGCCAAAAGAAGCTGGATTTAAATGCTAAAGGATCACAGGGATGTGACAAAGGCTGAAATAAACATTAAAATCATTATGGCACTCACAGCCCAAACCACCAGATCTTATGAATGGCAAAAACAGCCAGCAAAAGGGGGAGAGCTCTGGGTTCTAATGTGGATTTTCTTCCTGCGGGTCCTTCTCAGCTGCTGAGCCAGTCCCAAGCAGGAAGTTAGCGTCATTCTTGCAGAGGAAGAGTTTCTTTCACCTACCTTGGAGGGGAAGCAGCGAATGTGGCTTCTGCGCCTCACATATCTTAGCATACAGTCTGGACTGCTGACCATCCTCCCGGGTAGACAGGGAGCGTGCAAAGCTGAATGGAACAGAACTCTGAGATGCAGTTCAAAGAAAACTGAGTGAAAGGGTTACTTGCAATGGCTAAAAAAATCCAAGAGTGTTTTATTCATTTGTCCTTTAGCCCCACTCCGAGAGGCTCAGAATTTATTCCTCATACAAAACCTGCCACCCCTCCATTGTCAAGCTCTCAGCACATGTGTATCAAATGGAGAGTGGCTGTGTCGTATGTAATAGTTACAAGCTATTTTACTAAGCGGCTATCATTCTAGGAAGGCACCTCTTAGTAAGAACAATAATGTTTAAAAATAATAAAAAGCCTGGGTGCATAGGCTGTCCCAGGAATGTACTAAGTGAGCCAGCAAAGAAAGAGCAATTCATCTATTTTGGAAATGCTGGAAGGGGTAGGAGGGAGGGAACTGCAAAAACACCAAGTTCTCATTTTTTCCACTAGTGCTTGATTCTAGATGCACACAATCTCTCAATTTAGTCTTACAAATAAGAGAATATATTGTCTGAAAAACTAGGATACTCTTTTAAGTTTTTAAAAAGCCCTTTTAAAGTGAGTTTTTTCTCTCAAAGCCAAAAGTCTTGACAAAAAGGAAAACAAAATCCAACCTTCTACAGCCCTAAAAAGCAGCCAGCATACAAAGAAAGCACCTCCCCCTTCTTCCCACAGGCTCTTCCTGCATCAGCGCCCTCAGCCCTCTCACAGCTGATGGAGACAGGGATTGATGCTTTCAAAACCCACTGCTTTGCTTAGAGGTAGGGTCCTGTCAGCAGAAGGGACAGCAACTCAGTCCCAGTGTTGAACATCACTGAGGGACCAGAAGCATAACTCCAACACACTGCAGAGACTTTGTTTCCTGCTGTAATCGAATCAGCTTCAGGCCTGGAGTTCCCTGTGATTGGTAATGTAACGTGGCTCAGACTACTGGGAACTGTCGCATGCAGTCAGATGCCCACAAAGCAGCTGGAGCACCCAGCCCAGGAAGAGAAGCTCCTTGCTGGACCTTACAATTCAAGAAGTTATGTTTCAGGGACACAGCAAATGGTGCAAGAAAGTCCGCTGACAGAAAATGATTTTCATCAGTCTCTCGAGCCAGAAACTATGATAATAAAACTGAAGAAGCGCCTAAAGAATTCATTTCCAAATTCAGCAGAACTTTTTTCCTATTCTCTTTCTTGAAAAGCCAACTGGGTCACAAAACTCCAAGTGTACAGTTTTGGTAGTGCCACCATCATAAATGCTGCCAGTCAATGCCCACCAGGGTCTGGTTCGCCTCCTGTGCGTGTCCGATTTCCTCCGTGATGCTGTGCTGGTGCCAAAGCTTCTGAATCTTCCGAAATCGCTCTGTGCACAAATGTAAAGGATTTCCCCGTCTAGGAAGAAGACACATGCCACTCAGGGTGCATTCTCTTTACTCATGTATTATATATATCCCAACTTTTCTTGATTTGGGAACGGCTGCAAGTTAGTGGTTTTAGATCCTTTGCAAAATTTCTGCTTGGCAGGAGAGTGGCTGTTAATACATTAGTTCTGAAGGTTTGCTAGGAACAGTTGAAGGGGATTAAGTTCTACAAGGAAGAGAAAATGTACACAAGCTACTCAGCCTGGGGTGAGGGAAGTGGGTGGGGAGTAGGGGGGTCTGGATTGAGAGGTTGAAACTACCCATTCATTGTCCTCTTTGCTGGTAGAATGTAAAGAAGAAGGGAGGAGGCAGGGGAGAGGGTGGAAGGAGAACTACAGGGTGCAGGGGCTCCTTTGAGTGCTGTCTGTCAGCCAAAGCTGAGGCAAAGCAGCTGAAGGTGAGTAACATCCGGGTCTGATGTCGCCGAAGCACAGGCTTCAGTGTGGGCACGCCTGGGGCCTTTGCTCTTGATTCACAGTGCACCAGTCCTCTCACTCCCTACCCGGGGGCTCCTCCTCTGAGGAGCCCATGCTCCTTAGAGCAACAGGAAGAACCATCACTGAGGGGCAAACACCCATACCCGTGCAGTCAAGCACGCGGGGTAGCCCATATACTATCTTGCTGTGATCCCCAGGCTTTCAAACTTTGGGTCCCCAAGGCTGGATGGTAATATCTAGGACAAGACCTTCACCTTCTCTGGGCAAAGAGATGGTCTACAAGAAGTTCTTTGATAGTGTTTGAGGGAACGGCTGCTGGTATTTTGCTTATGATGTAATAGTACCAACAAGAGCGCACGTGATGAAGCCTCAGATACCACTGTGGTTGTCTACATTCTAAATCTTTGTCCCCCAGATTCTTATATAATAAGATAAGCACATCTCTTACCAACTAGGATTTACTTTTTTTACATCACCTGAAGCATACTGGGTCCCCCCATACCAAGCTGCACAAGTCACCACAGCTGTCCCTGCACTGCTCTGATGCTGCGGATGCCACACAGCGGTTCAGTTTTCTGGAGTGATTAATGGAAAAAAGTTGCCCTCTGTCCTACTCTTTTCCCTTATCTATCCTAATGACCCTCTGGACATTCAGAGGGCTGGAAGAGGGGCTGCCACACCGGCAGGCAGGCACCCTCCTTGGGACAGTCCTTTCCCCAGGTGACAGTCACCCCTCTCCACAGCAGAAGCTGCACAGACCCTGTGCTGTTAGTGGCCCTGTGTTCACAGCGAAGGCTCTAGAGGCCCGAAGTTAGTCCCCGCAGCCCCCCAGGATGGGCCCTTACCTGAGTCCCTGGTCGGTTTCCCCATAGTCATCAAGGTAAGGAGGAGAGTAGAAACAGCCTTTGGTTTTGCCGGCTAGAAAGAGCACCTGACATTCCCGTACTCTGCGGAGAGACCGTTTGTATGTTACATGTTAGCAGCCAAGGTCGGGATTCAATTCCAAATGGACTGAAGTCTTACAAAAATAAACAAAACTAGTATTGGAAGAGAACATCATTTATAGCAGAGACACTCAAAAATATCAACACATCTAACTTTTAAAAATAATTAAAATGGCTGTACTACAATTAATAATGATTATATGTAAATCACTGTGGTGAGGGGAGAGGGACATTTCAGATTAGGAATCGATGGATCATATATTAGGAGCATTTAAAAAAACTGTGTGTATGAGAAAGATAGTTAGCTTCTAAACATAGTTACTAGTACTTCAAGCACTATAGTGAATTATTCATTTAAAAATGGTGCACAAACATGATCAGGCTGACTTTTCAACACAAACCAACACTGTACATGACCCCAAGAACTCTGAAATATGCCAGACAAGGGAAAATGCTACCTTTCTGTTTCTCCTAAGGGCTATTTAAAAATGTACCTCCTCATCCACTTGAGAGGTCTGCTTGACTTTTTTGGCTACTAATAATTCAGCTCAATTCAACATTTGTTGAGAACCTACCATATGTAAGAAATTGTTAGGCATGTGGGGACACTAAGATGACTAAGATACAGATATGATCTATGCCCCAGAGGAGCTCAAATTCATGTCACTAGCACCTCCCAGCCCCAAGTCCCCCTCTGCAGACGCTACTCCAGTGACGCCAGCCTCCTTGCTGTTTCTTGAACACAGCAGGCACATTCCCCAGCAGTTCTGCACTTGCTGCTCCCTGCCTAGGGTGTTTTCCCTGCTTCATGAGGTCTTGATTCATAAGTTACCTTCTCAGGGAAACTTCCCTGGTTCCCCACCTAAAATTCAACTCCCCAGCTGTCCTTTGATATTACGCTCCCTGCCTTTTTTTTTTCTCCTCTACCTATGTCACTTTCTGAAGTCTTAGCAGACTTGTTCATTTTCTAGCTCCCTCACTAGAAAATGAGCTCCATGAAAGCAGAGGTTTTTGCCTGCTTTGTTGACCCCATTCTCAATGCCTAGTATGCAGCAGCCACTAGTGTCTGCTGTATATTGTTGAGTTCACACAACAGCATACATGAGCCTGCAATACGTATGAATCCAAGACCATGAAGACACAAAAAAATCATGAGTAATTCTAACTGGATTAGGGTAGAAAATCAAGAACAACTGGCACAAAGTTTGCATGAACCAAACAGGAGATGTGAGGAGACAAGGCTCTTGTGGTCCTCAAATGAACAAAACACAGGAAAACAGCAGTCTTAAAATTCTTTGTCATACAGTAGTTTCTTATACTATCCTGCCCCCTCAACAGGCATACGGTGTGGCAGAAACAAAGCTCACAAGCTCCTGCCAGGGCCTTACCTCAGGAAGATGCCCACCCCAGAACCACAGGAGTATGTGTGAGCTGTGCAGGCTCCTACATCTTCCCCTTCCAGGTCAGTCTGACAACAGTAGCTCTGGGAGCACAACAGAGTTCCACACACAAGACATAAAGTTGGGGCTCTGCTCTTATCACCACCTGATTTGGGGCACCTCCAGGGGACAAAAAAAGCACAAGTCATTTTCTAAAAAGGAGTGGCTGAAGAGCTGATCGTGGCAAAACTGTCTTGGAAACAAATTGTGTGACATCAGGTAGGGCTGAAGATGGGCCCAGGTAAATTTATTTCTAGAATAGGGAACATTTCACACATATACAAAAACACCATGCACTGGAAACATTCAATCAACCATCAGAGAAAAGGGAAATAAAGTCATCAACAGGAGAAAAAAATATGTAAATTCTGCTACTGTTATGTAATAAAATAGTATTTAAGTCAAAGCTGATGGATTAAGAGTCATGTATGTCAAATGTATAAATAAATCTTATAAACAATGTTGAATGAAGAAAGCTGTAGAATATGTACAATATAATACCACTTTTTAAAGCTTAAAACATGCAAAATAATATATGCTGCTTCAGAATAAAAGCCTTTATAGTTAA